GCCCTTTAACAATTGATAACATAATTGGCTGCCCCAGGAGCACCTGCAGACATTAGAGGGCGAATGGTAATATGTATAAATGGTGCTGACCTATCTCCTGAAGACTTTTCAACAAGTTTTTTTTTTTTTTCTTGAGATGGACTCTCGTTTTTTAGCCCAGGCTGGAGTGCAGTGGTGCGATCTCGGCTCACTGCAACCTCCGCCTTCCAGGCCCCTGTTCAAGCAATTCTCCTACCTCAGCCTCCCAAATAGCTGGGATTACAGGCATGAGCCACCATGCCCAACTAATTTTTGTATTTTTTAGTAGAGACAGGGTTTCACCATGTTGACCAGTCTGATCTTGAACTCCTGACCTTGTGATCCTCCTGCCTCGGCCTCCCAAAGTGCTGGGATTACACGTGTGAGCCACCAGGCAGCATCCACACCCACTGCGGCCCCTAAGCCCCGGCTACACCCATATCAGCATGAAGGGCATCCAGGAGGAGCCACCCCCTCCCGCTCACCAGGCTTGGGATGCTGCCGCCCATCCCGAGCCTCGGGGCTTGGTTTTTGCTTTCTCCCCTCTCTTGCTGCCTGGCACACAACAGAGGGACATTCTGCAGGGACTCGTGTGGTGGTGTCTGTGGTGTGCGGCAGCCGCCATCTGAGCACAACTGAGTAGAGATGACTGCCCACCACGTACACGCCAGGAGGCAGTCCCGGCCTGCAGCCCACTCTGACAACAGCTCCCCTGCTGGGCACTGCCGGCCGAGATTGTCATGCGTCCCTTTGGTGTCCCCAGTTCCTCTGGACAGTTCTCTGTCCCACTCTTGAGAGTAAGATGCTGAAGTCTCTGGTGCATCCCTCCCTGTCTCCTGGGCGTCCTGGCCTTTGCCGGCATGGTCCGGAGGCCCCGTGGGGGGGTTTCTGCGCCTGGGGCTTTTGCGGGCGGCCGCTGCTTTGTGTGAGTGGGAGGGTGGGTGGCCCGGGTCTGCCTGTGGGTGCCTTTGTTTTTTCGGTGTGTGGTGCTGGTTTGCAGGCATGTGTCTGTGTCTTAGTTCTTTCAGTGAAGGCCTTTTGTGTTTGTGGTTTCTCTTGCTTGGGTCGGAGCTGTCCAGCTTTGTTTCCTGGGTCTTGCGTGCCTTGCCTCCCCCTTGGGTGGCGCGTGGGAGCTTGGCTTCCCTGCTTGGTCCTGGGGCCTTGCAGGTGCTTGGTTGTCGATCTGCCTGTTTATCGTGTGCCCTGCTTTGTGTGTTGGCTCTTGCTGGCGTGGGTGGGGTTCCTGTGGTACTGTGAGGGATGCACCAGAGACTTCAGCATCTTACTCTCAAGAGTGGGACAGAGAACTGTCCAGAGGAACTGGGGACACCAAAGGGACGCATGACAATCTCGGCTTCCAGTTTCCCAAGGCTGCAGTACAGAGACAGTCTGTCCCTCTTTAAAACAAAATCTAAGCTCAACTAGCACTGCAAAGCCTCTGCACTGGGAGGTGTTTGCTCAGACGGCCCCGCCCGGCTCTGCTCCCCTAGACAGCCAGGGATTCAGGCCACAACTGGTTAACTCGGTGGGCGAATTCGAGCCCGCAGCGATGCTGGCTGACTGTCTTCACTCAGCGCTGTAATCGGCACATCTGCAGACAGGAAATCCTCCTCGCTGAAGTTCCCAGTCTATTATCTGAGACACCTGGTGTGGGCGGGTGACTCAGAGACAAACAATGAGCAGGGGCCCCCTGCACAGCAATTAACTGCTTTAACTGCTAATGTGTTTAATCCACCACGTGGAGATCAAGGCTGCGTCGAGGAAGGGCTCGGTCCGACTCGGCTTCCCGACAGCAGGGCCCGCTTCACGACGCCTATGCCCATGGTCCTCGCCAGCTGTGGCCAGGTGCCGGGAACACAGGCAGCGGGCAGGGCCAGCACTCGGCCCCGCACAGGAGCTCCGTGAGCACCTGAGCCCCTTCTGCGTGTGTGCACACTGGGCACGGGGGGCATCCTCCCTTCCTGTCAGAGCCCAGATCGTGCGCGCGTGGTCCACACCGGGACAGGAAGCGGAGTTGGAGATGCTGGCATTGCTAGCTGTGCAGCCCCGAGGGCGCTGGATTTTAACCTCCCAGTGGATCTTCCTTTATTGCAAGTAGAAATACAGCTTGGTTAAAGGCTTATCATACAAACCAGCAGAAAACACTTGCATTTGCTGACCTGGGAAGCGGCTCCTGAATGTTTACAAAACCTGGCTCTGAGCAGCAGCGAAGTCAGCACATGCCCGAGCGGCCCCCAGCAGGCGCGCAGAAGCCGGGCCGCCCTCGGGAAGCAGGGTCAGAGGCCAAGGACTGCGAAAAGCTTCCACCCCCAGCATCAATCACGCCAGGCAGACTGTCTGGGCGATGCTCATTTTGAAAATACAAAAAAATAAAACAGACTCCTAGCAAGGGCGGATGGGCGTGCAGGCCACAGCAGCCCTGCCAACCAGGGAGGGGCCTTGCTTGTTGCCTGCCAGGCCGACACCCGGGCTTTCTGGGGACATACTCCTGGCCCGCTGGGCTGCCGCATCCCTAGGGGCTCAGCCGAGGGCTGCCCCTCGGTTCCACGGCAAGAGCACCCTATGCCATGGGTGAACAGAGATGTCAGCAGACAGAGGAGGAGAGCTAGGGCCCGGTGGGAGGGAGAGACTCACCATCTCCCCTTCAGAGTGCAGTTTATTTGGGAATGAGAGTAAGAGGATAAATTTTGAAAGAAAAATAAAGTAGAATTTATGATGAGAATCATCAGTACACTTCGGGGTCCAAAATGTAACCTAATCCTTCATAGTGTTTATCATAATAAACTTACTTAAAATCTACTTTTACAACGTGACTGAGAGCATTACTTTTGCTGACTGATCACCTCTGGGCCAAGAGCCCTGCGTCTCAGGTCCTCCCCGGCCGTCAGCTCCGCGCTTGTGCCCACTGTGCAGAAGTGAAGGCTCGGCTGCTCCAGGGTGGAGGTCCTCCCCGGCCGTCAGCTCCGCGCTTGTGCCCACTGTGCAGAAGTGAAGGCTCGGCTGCTCCAGGCTGGTTTCCTTTCTGATTTCCCATTCCAAGTGACTGCTTCAGAAGTGCATCACCCTGTGACGCAGCTTGTGCCTCTGGGAGCCCTCCCCCAGGGGACACCAACAACTGGCCAGCCCCACTGGAGCCAGGTGATCTGAGAGGAACCCTGGCTCTGATCTCGGGCTCTCGCAGGGAACAACAGAGCAGGCTGGGCATGGAAAGGCCTCGGAGAACTAACAACACTGAGTAGGTTGCTCCCGCCTTCAACATGCAAGTTGACAGGGCCAGTGGGAAAACTAGGAACCTAAACTAGATGGCCAGGCACTGAGGCAGGTAGGATGCCTGGGCAGGCACGCTGTGTGTGCCGCCACCCACCCTGACAAGGGCCTGCAGCTCTCCTTGGGGCGCCCAGCTTTGTAGCAGGCCTCGGATAAGGCGGTGTCTGGCTGATCCCTGTTGATTCCAGCTCCCCGTCCCCAGCCCCCTCAGAGAGCCCAGCCCAGATCTGCGTCCACACTCCCCACACCAGCTCGGCCTCTGCCCCACGCAAAATCGGACCCTCACCTGACAGAGAGCAAGAAGGTGAGACCAGACTGTGCCTAGCCAGTGGCAGCCAGCCCACGCCAGGCCAGGAAAGGCCCAGGCCACTGCGCAGCGCTGGACGGGTGGTGTCTTTGGAAGCCTTTGAAATGTGACTTCTGGAAAAGCCTGAGACACCACTCCTGGCACGTGATGACCTGCTAGGCCCAAAGGGACCCACTGGGAAATACTGAAAGCCACAAGAAGACTGGGCAGAACTTTAAAAAGCCTGCATCATTTTTACGGGCTGAAAACAGCCGGCTTGTGCACACCCATGTTCACAGCAGCATGATCCACAACAACCAAAGACAGAAGCCACCTAAGTGTCCACTGACAGATGATGGACACACACAGAGCTTGGCCTTCAACAGGAAGGAAGTGCTGGCACCGGGCACACAAACGGTAACCCAGTAACAGATGCTGCGGCATGGGCTCGGCTTGAAAACATTGTGCTAAGAGACATGAGCCAGTCACGAAAGGACAAACTGCACCTATGTGAAGTCTCTGGAGGAGTCAGAGCCATCGAGACAGACAGTGGAAGGGTGAGTGCCAGGCGCAGTGGGGAGAGAGGGTTTAATGGAGACAGAGCTCAGTCTGGAGCTAATGGAGACGTTCTAGACATGTGCGTTCGTGCTGGCTATACAACGTGAATGTACTTAACACCCCTGAACTACACGCTTTAAAATGCTTACGATGATGAATTTTATGTTATATACATGTTACTGTCAGTCTTCAAGCTTTCAAATCTATATCATTTTTATGTTAAAAACAACAAACTAGCTTGGCTGGGCGCAGCAGCTCAAAGCTGTAATCCCAGCACTTGGAAGGCTGAGATGGGAAGACGGATTGAGCCTGGGAGGTCAAGGCTGCAGTGAGCTGTGACCACACCACTGCACTCCGCCTGGGCAAGAGAGACACCCTGTCTCAAAAGAAAACAAAAGAAAAGAAAAGCACCTAGTTTGAAAGCCTGAAGCAGCAAATTTAATATGCTAAAGAAAAAATGCATACCAAGGTTTAAACCTGGAAGGCGACGTGCAGGATTTACGTGCTGAAACCTTAACAAGCAATCTACCCAGGACGAGGGCAGGCCAGGAGGACTGCCCAGCCGCTCCCTGATGAGGACACCTGGCTGCCACCGTCTGTCTCATCTCTGGTTTTTCCAGCATGTCCCACGGTGGTGGGGAGACATGCAGAAACTCGAGGTGCTGGGGACGGCAGGATGGGCACAGCCCAGCGTGGATGCCACCCCACAGGCCTTCACGGTGGCTTTCAAGGTACACTGGGGAGCAGCCAACCCACCTGGTGACCAGCAGGATCAGGGAGCCCTGGGAGGTGGCGACAGGAAGTGGGGTGAAGATTCTCCACGTGCCTCGAGGAGAGCAGAGACACAGTGTGTGGCTCGACGCACCCTTACCTACGGCCCACAGGACGGTGTTGAAGGTGCCCGTGCCCTCCTTGCCAGTGGTGTGGTCCTCCCAGGTGACCTGCAGCTGGCCGTCTGGGAGCCTCCTGACTTGGGAGGGGGTGCAGCCCCTCAGGAACCGGGTGCCATGAGATGCCATGTGCTCCGTGACCAAGGAGGACATTTGCTGCAAAGCACAAGAGGATGGGCCATGAAGACCAGGTGACTGGGGAGAGGCCCTGGCCCTGGCCCTGGCCCTGGCCCTGCCTCAGGGAGGGGCTGAGAGGCGTCTATGCAGAAGACATACCCTCTTGCTCTCGGTGGAGTGTCTGGCCCCCTTCTGGCTGCAAGTCCTCAGACCCTGGGCCCTGTGGTGAGGACTCACTTGTCCTGTGGGCTCCTCTCTAGACGCTAATTAACTAAGTCCTCATCAGCCAGATACAACCACCCCTATCATCCCAATACTTTGGGAGGCTGAGGTGGGAGGACCCCTCAAGCCCAGGAGTTTGAGCTTGCAATGAACCGTGATCACGCCACTGCACCCCAGCCTGGGCAACAGAGCAAGACCTTATCTCTAAAAGAAAATGGCCCCCTGCTCCTGGTCCACGCCTCCATATGTGGCCAACCTGCCCCTCTGCCATCCAAGAGCCAGGAGGGTAGGGAGAAACTCCACTGCCACCTAGAAATGTAGGCATAGGAGGCTCAGGTCAGACTGGGGACAGAGAGGGTCCCGTTTCTCCCTCCTGGCCCAGAAGGCCTGTGCACCCCCAGTCCAGCTGCAGTTGGGGCCCCATTCCCCAGGACAATGGAGCCTTGCACAGGCCAGCACTGAGGTTGGCCACAGCTTCTGGTTTCAAGAGGAGATAAACAGTCACTGCTGACATCCTCTGACACCTGTCCGGGTGTGCCAGCTGGCTCCAGATGGCGTGTGTGGGAGTCTGGCCTGCCGGGCAGGGCTGTTTGTACTACAGAAGGGCTGTCGCACACGCTGTTCACCCCTCCCGTACCCCTCCGAGGCCTGGCGGGCTTGGCCATCCCGGGCTCTGAGGGGAACCATGGGGCCCATCCAGGACACAGGGCTCACAGCCCCTCGGCCTGGATGCTCACACTGTGCATCCTCCCTGCCTGGGCACGCCCCATCCTGCAGGCCCCTTTCCTCCTCTGTCCACTGCCAGCTCACCCTCCCCACATCTCAAGTCTCCAAGGCCTTCCCAGACACTGCGTCCCAACCACAGGGCTCAGTGAGTCTGCAGTGAGGGACGGTGGGCGTGTGCCACAGCCTGAGGATGAAGAATCACACAGCCACACAGGTGGAGGGACACACAGCCTGAGGATG